GGGTCGGCGAACGTTCTCGGGAGGAGCCAACATGGGCGTCCACCATAAGACTTCTCTTGGAAAAGTGCTCAACTAGTATTCATAATGTTGAGGAGAGGCTTCAAAAACATCCCGACCTATACGATGGCGACGAATCCAACAGTCAGCCGTCTCCTGAAGAGAATCGTCCGGAATTGGTTGAAGAGCATCATTCAGTTCAGAACAACAGCGGCCATGTTCCCATCTCTCTGGCTACTAATGATGGTCAGATACTACAAAACTCTCTAGGTCCGGTCGATACTCCCGTTGCAGCAAACGGTACCAGATCTTGTCAGTTCTCCAGCTTCATTCCTTATAGCATTGAGGATGGAGTCGTTGTTCTCGCTCCCTCCATCTCTCAATATCGTGACATACCGTTGCTACTCTCGGAGGCTCAAAAACTGGGGGCTCGTGAAACAGGAGTCTTTAAATACCGACTGCCCGATGATCTCGACTTAGCTACCACGGCTGTCCGCAAAGATATCATGAAGGTGTCGAGATTCTCCTCTTATTTTGATTCCAGGGGGCTTCAACGCATATCCAGAACCGAGCAAATGGAGGCAATCATGACCGGTAATCTCGAGGCACAACCTGCAGAGCCAGCCAAAATAGCCGAGATCTTGGAACAGCGCCTTACGGATCCTGAAGCCATGAGTAGAATGCGTTACTGTACGGATATTCCCGCACAAACAGCAGGAGACCGCCGTCGCCTTGGCTTGCCTAAGGAGTCGCCGATTTGGCCTGTGAAGGATAACCAGTTGGAGCGAACCAGAGATCAAATCCCCGGTGTCCACTGGCCATACGGGTATATCGCCGGTGAGTACGGCTCGTTATTCGCCACTCACATTGAGGACGGGAACTTGGTGTCCATGAACGCTATGTACGGTGGTTCAGCAACATTATGGAACGTGGTGGCCCCGAATGACGGCTATCTTATCGAAGGTCAGGTCACGGGAACATGCGCACAGAAGGTACGCCACGCGTCTCTTTGGATGCGCCGTTCGAATCTAAAAGCCATAGGTGCTTCATTTGTCTCATTTGTCCAACGTCCGAAAGAGGTGGTGTTGGTGTGGGGAGATGCCTTCCACGGAGGTGGCACTCCTGGACCCAAGGTCGCTGAAGCCGTCAACTATGCCCCTCCCAACTGGAGCATCAAAGGCTATGCTGAGTGTGGCTCGGAATGCGATGGCTTTCCTATCTCGAACGCGTCGCTCGAGTTCCGCGATGCGGACACCCCACAAGGCGAGCAATGGGAAGATCTTGCACAAAGGAACCAACCAGAAACATCATCAAGACGCAACCATGCCGTTTCGCGCACCAGGGAGCCCGCGGCAAAGCCTGCGGTTGATGGAGGCCTGCGAAAAAGGTCCCAGGATGCCCCAACCCCGTTAGAAAGGCGGCCAAAGCGGGTCTGCGTGGCGCCGTCTGCCACAGTCGCTCATAGCGGTCCTTCCAGCAACCTTATTTCCCACATGGTGCAGGCCATACACTGTAGAGACGCCATCCTACAATTCATGGATATTGTTCGCGGTCGCCGCTCAATTGATCCTACAGTGTTGCGAACGAACCAGAACGACGGCGGGATTTCAATTCTAAATGCCCTTGATGAAGTATCGAACAAGATAAAGTATCATCAATTTCTAACTCGCTTGCATCAAGCTCGCCTTGCTCAGGATGCGACGAAGTACATGGGAAGCCGTCACCGAGTCCCTAAAGGTCTGATTTCAAAGATTCTCCGTGGCACAGGAATGACCGCCCGTCAATATTATTACCATAGAAGCCAAGGCACAGGATGGCAAAAGTACCAGGAGGTCTTCCCTGGCATCCTTGGCTTTCTTCTCTTTCATCCCATGTCATTTCAGTTTTCCTCACAAGACTGGATTACTCTGTCAAAAGTCGAACTCATGGCCCTCAAAGACCAAGTCAATCCAGAACGCATCGCGACGCTGTGCACTGCGGGAAAGCTATTTGAGAAATCACTCCTGGAACAGTCCGCCGATGACGTGGATTATATGTGGGAAAATACGAGCGCACCCGTGGACAAACTCTCCGACAAGGATTTGCTCGCTTCTCTGCAAAAGTTTCCGTCAACGGACGTTAACATATATGACAAAGATGCGTACCCAAAATGGCCAAAGCCCAACCGTTCGCCCACCAATTTATATTGGCCGTGCGACGACCCGACTTCGGTGTCTCCGTCTGCCAGAACACAGTGTGAACTGTGTAACGAGAGCCAATGTGAATGTACCAACATTCGTCTCGAAACACCGCCGCGAATTCGCATGTACGAGGGCAAAGGCCGAGGGTTGCAAGCTGTTGCCAGACACGCAGGTCAGGTCGCTTACAAGAAAGGGGATCTTCTCGGAAAATTCACGGGGGTTCTTACGCCTCCGAAGGCATGTAGCAATGGAAGATGTATCGAGATTTTAAGGCATGATCTCGATGACACAAAGCCCGTGCGTGTAGCACTGATAAACTGCGAGGATCGAGGGAACATCTTTCGGCTAATGAATTGTGATTGTGAGCCCACGGTCGAAGTGTCGGGGATGGTTATTTCTGGTAAGTTCGAGCTAGTGGTCCGGGCTCGAAGGGATATCCGCGATGGGCAAGAACTGACATTTAACTACGGTCGAGGCTACTGGGGGGAAAAGCCATGTCCCTGCCCGAAATGCACACTACGTAGGTCACGTGCTCATAACTCCGTCGACGTAGTTATGAGCACGTGATGTTGAGCTTTGAACACTACCATGGAAAATAGTTCCGGGAAGTGCGCAAGAGTAAAGCGTTATGAGCCAGCATATGCAGCTTATAAAACCCTTTGGGCCTTGCTGCTGCCTAATTCGAAGACCTCAGTTGAACAGAAGGCATGGGAATCCTTAGAGTCTATAGAATATTCCATAAGTCAAGCCACTCTGGAATACACAGGAAATTCGATTCACACTGTAGGACAAAGCCATTACACAAATATATGCAAGGATCTAGTGATCAAAGTTAGGGTGCTTACAAGACTTGCTTAAAAAGAGAGGAAGAGTCTGTAAACGTATATGCATCCCGTCCCGCGGGGCTTCCATTTTGTGACGTTGCAGCACGACCTCAATTCTCGCTGTTGATCCCACTATCGGGGTTCTTCATCTCTTCCGCTTCTCCTTGGGTAGAATCACCATCGTTATCCGAACCAAACAACATGTCGTCTTCTGGTGTATATACATCTTCGTAAGAGTTGCCGCAATTATCATGTGCGGATTCCATAGGAGAAGGAGGTTCACAAGGAGAATCGACTTCTGCTAGTGATGGTGATAGAATGGGTTTTTTTTGTAGATAGGCTTCATCCTTCTGATCATGTGGATTCTCTGTGAAGTTGCCTTTGGTATTTATGTTGCGTTGCTCGAGCGGGTATTTGTTCCAGTATTCTGCTTCAGCCTCGTAGGGAACAGAGGAAGCAGACTGCCAAACCGGGCGAACCTTAACCAGATACTGTAGACGACCGTGCAATACACGATGTGCTAGAAGGCACTCGGAATGCCACGACTCTAAACTGGGCCTCGGTGTCCGATGTGATGAAACACTATCATATGCCCTCCTCGTTTCCGTTTCAATTGTTGAACTTGCGGCACTATGACGCTGCTGAAGAGCTTGTGCCTCCATCTTTACCGTGTCTCGGTTGGGGTGTCTTAATACGATGCAAGGATAATCGCGTTTCCTAGATTTATAGGATTTCTTGCGCGACCTTCCCACGGTTATACGTGGTCGCGGCTGCCCTGACGATTCCGGCGGGAATATCGCGGCACGGAAGGTATTGCAGAATTAGCTGCGTACGTCATGTTCTCCCATCCCCTTTCTTGAAAATACTCCTCCCTAGCCCCAAAATTGATTGAGGAAAAGACATTGGTTGCCCAAAACTATGTTCGTCCTCTGAAACATGTTGTACGGTACATATGCTCCCGGAATTGCCCAGCTTCTACTTGCCTTTCCTTGCAGCAGTCCAGCATGGCACTACAGGGTGATGGATAATGTTGCTTGTTGTACTTTAGATGTTGTAGAGCTGGAAGGGCAAGGACCTAAATAAGAAAACTTTTCGTTTCATTCCTGCAATTTCTTTGTAACTTTTCGAGGAAGAGTATTATGAGGTTGAACTTGACATCTCTATGAAGGAGCTACCGTATTGTGACACACTTGTTAATGCTTCTTTGAGGAATTTGTATTACTCGAGGTCGGCTAGCTTTCACCATTCGCCTCTCTTGGGCCTTCCCCACGGTGAATTCCTGGTCAGTTTCACAAAGGACGTCCTTATTTACATCCAAGTGCTCTGAAATTATATTAGTCCGTAAAGAGAGCTTGCTGATGCGAGTACTGAGGGTCTTACGTGTCGTTGCTCTCCGGCTACTCTCCAGAACCTCAGCTAGTGACTGAAAATACTGTTTTGGAACGCTCTCAAAGCCAAAGGCCCTATCTAGGTCCACAAAGCTATGACACTGTGGCTCCTTTTTTATATGATCATCGAAGGTGCATGACAATGATAGGGGGATAGGGCAACTCTGGATTCTTGGATCTTTATTACATTAGACAGGTTAGCAACGCCAGACTCAATTTGACGACGCTAATATACTCTCAGTCTCTGACGAATCCGTCTCGTTTTTGTGCTGATTTGCCATTTCTGACTTGTCCAAGTGTTCTAGTAGATTGACGGTGTAATATAAGAGGATAAAAAATGCTCGGAAACCATTTCGTTCATTGTGAAGTAGTAGAAAAAAGATATTTAAATCGAGAACTTTAGACGAGAGATACTATGGTATAGCTATCGCCCAGGAAATTAAAGGACTTAGTCTGATACAATACGCCATTTTTGCTACACTTATAGTATCCCGTTCCTAATAGAAACCACACTTTCTTTAGGTAAAATAGCTCCAACGGATCACTATTTAATAGCAAAGACGCAGACGAATGTTCTCATCAATTTATCACGTCAGCAATACTCATGCATCATGCAACAACTCGGAATTGTACGTATACTTTCAGTAGTTTTGCTCTCTCACGTCAAGCTATATCTTGCCTCGTCACGTCGCTATGACCCTATCAGACGTTTTGTCTCAACGATAGGTGGCCCGCATGCGGGATATTTTGTCAATAATACTTACGAGTCCAACATTGGATTGCCAGTCGCAACTCAAGAGCTCGAGCTTGGAGCTCAACAAAAGTCCAAGGTTGTCGTCAATAACATAGGGAATAGTAGTGAAGTCAATATGTACGTGACCGGAAATGATTTGACCAACAACCTTGTCATCTTAACACCGAATGGACAATGGTATTATCCCACTGTCAATGACTCCCTAAATGTTCCAATGAAACTGTCTTCGGACGTCATTACCATCCCCGTACAATGTACCAGTCCAGCTATAGAAGTTCGGCTTCCCAGCCCCGTATCAGCGGGAAGGATTTGGTTCGCACACGGTGATCTGGAGTTTTCAGTTGTCAGGACCCAGACCAGCAGCGCCTCGCTTGTCCAACCTTCTCTGACCTATGCCAATATTTCATGGGACTTCGTGGAGTTCACGACCACCCCGGAGGAAGGTTTATGGGTCAACCTCAGCTTCGTGGACTTTGTCGGCATAGCCTTGGGCCTAGAACTGGTGAATTATAGCCCAGAGAACACCACTTCAGTCCCACAGTCGGCCTTGGGTCTGCAGTCAAGCGCGATAGACACACTGTGTCGACGCTTAGCCGACCAAAGTATTATCGACGGCTATAGCTGGGGAGATTTATGTCTGAGAAATTCAGATTCTCGCCCAGTTCGGGTACTCTCTCCGACTTCTTATATTCAGGCGAACCCGGAAGCTTTTTCAGACTATTGGACATGTTATATCGAAGAAGTCTGGACACGGTACACCTCTGAGAGTCTAACCATCTATCCCAACTCTCAGGATTTGGGGGACATCTCTTGCGGCGTTCAGGATGATCTTCTTATCTGTACAGACGCGAAGGGAACAGTTGAAGACTTTGGGAAACCGTCGGCGAAAGACGTTTTTGGGTGCAATAGTGGCCCATTTACTATCACCGAGAACTCCAGCGACCTGTCTCGGGCAGTTGTACCACGACTCTGCGCCGGTATCAACCGGTCTACTCTACTCCTCGACGACTCTAGCTTTCAGCCAAGTGGCATCCCTCCCAGGTTATACTATACCGGCAACGTGACCAATTGGTATAGTAAACTAGTCCACCAATTGGAGATCGATGGCAAGGGGTACGCATTTCCCTACGACGATGTATCGTCGGTCGATGGAGATAGCAGTCAATCGGGACTACTGACGGTTCCTGAGCCATGGGTCCTAAGTTTATTTGTCGGCGCCTAAAAATTCGACACGATGCCCGAATATTCTTGTGACTAGGATCTCAGTACTGATGTATTGTACTGTATACTGCAACTATTCGATCTCCGTATATTGTATCCAGGCAGGGTGGAAAAGTGAATCACGTGATTAATGTGCAGCAGTAGTATCATGGGTGCAATAGGATCTGTTACATTCGGTGGGCCGGAAGCCGTACGAAAGTACTATGCTTATGTGTGCCTTGGGTTCTCGGTCTTTTTCCAGGAAGTATTTACTGTATGCTATGTCCTGACGAACTGTATAGATTGCAGTTGATATAGTAAAAAGATGCTGAGCCATCTCCTTGTATCTGCTTCCGTGATCCTCAATTTATAGTCCAATTGACGAAGTAAGTCCCGTTCCAGAGAGTTGACTTGCTTCACCGTGAACCCAAAGCTCCTGCAACTTCTCGTTCGTGACCATGCCGCCCAATGTGTTGCTTTTGGACACACATCTCGATGGTACTTCCAGTATACAATTATCGATGCCAGAAAGACACGATGTGGTGTTGAACACTGCCCTTCAGCATTTCTTGGGAGACTACATTTGAGTCGATACATGTATTCTATGCAGAAGAGAAGATCGGTCCACCCAAGCTGGCAAGAAGAGGCGATATCTTTAATAAATGTCTTCAAGCTCGGGAGGTTTGCTTGGTGCGCTGTAGTCTCCTTAGGGCAGCAAATGACATGAGAAGCAAAATCTGCAACAAGTGAGATCACTGACAGCTTCCGTGAGGTCACAGGTTCGCCCTGTGGTCTGAGGGCCTGCATCGTGCTAGACCGCAATGTCAAATTTGGTAGATTTGAACCTTTGTACTGTACAGTGCTTTCAGACTCGGACACAGTACACGGTCGAACGTGATTTGAAGCACCTTTGTAGCTCCTGTACAATACCTTTCTTTCAAAAGGTATCTAATTGTGTAGGACGACTACGTCAGCATATCCTAGTTGAATCTCAAGATCTCACTATTTGAAAAATTTGGTGTTACATGTGGTTTTGAGGTACTGTACTGTAATGGAGGCCATTCCGTGACATTCCTGGCTTCTTCTTCCTCGCTTTCGTCTCAGCTGTGCAGAATAAGGACGACCACTAGTAATAAGTCGCACGGTTTTTCCGGACTTTTAAAGCAGTGGCACTTGATACTGTATTGGATGCAGGCTATCTGTCCACGCCAGCGGCCTAGAGTTTCCCTGAAATCTCCTCCATTTGGCCCCGCAGAATCTCAACTTCGCTTTGCAAGTCTTGAAGTCGTGCTTGCACAGAATCTAAAGTGGATTGAAAGCGTTTGAGACCTTCTTCCATCACTCGGTTTTGTCGTTCAACCTCCTCAAAAGTTCGCATCCTTTGGAATTGCTCTGCTGTCCTTTGCTTCAATGCCGCTTGTAGTCGTTTGACTTTGAGACCTAATGCGTCTTTATCTTGAATTTGTGACTTGGTCTTCTCATTTTCTTCTATAGATGGCTGATCCTTGAGCTGGCCTTTAGCCCCGTCGTTCGTAGATTCCTCAGTCAGTCGTAACGGAGAGATGATTGCCGGTCCCCATCCCTCCATCGTGACTTTCGCTACCCGGCGCCCTTGTGCTGTAGATGATGGTGAGGTACAATAATCTCGCTAATTGTTCAAGTTGTACGTTCAAAGGGAAAGTTTGAGGGCGCACGAAGATTACATTAAGGAGAATTCTCAGTGCCCTCTGCGGATTGCTCCTCCCGAGAAAATTTGTATGACCAAATCCATGACTTCCGGTGGTTATGAGCTAGTTCGAGTCTCAAAAGCGCGCGGCGGAAGAAGCCCGCTACAGAAGTCATGTATGCGACCTCTCGGTGGACAAGGCAGACTGGTCACAAAATGAATGGCCTACGGTTCCTGTGGTTTAACTGGCTTCTGGTGTCGGCACACATTCCGCGAGCCTCACTTTTGCTGTAGTATTCGGTACTGTCGGAGCTGTATCGTTTGCAGCTCAATCCAGTAAAAAAGGACTACCAAAGGCCATCTGCCTTTGATGTACCCTTAGGAAAGTACCAGTAGAAGCAGGATAGTATGTAGATAAATTCCTCCACGCAGTACGGGATACTGTATGTTACAACAGGCTTGGATCCAGTATTGCTAGAAACAATAAATGATAGAAATGGGTTGAACAGAACGAAAATACACCATAACCGCATGTCCTTTCCTCTCTTATCCTGATGCCGTACAGCAGCCCAATAGATAGCTATGATCACATATCTTGGACGTCGCAAGGGACCATGGACAGGCGACAATCCTGTGAGATCTGCTGCCTATCAGTTGCTTTAACCACAAGTTGCTTGCTGAATGCCCTGCGGGGGTGCAACTGGGAGGGCCCCCTTGTCATCAGCAACGGTCACAACCGCACCCTCGAATCCATAGAATGTACAGGGGCCAGTGCCTTGAGCGATGCCAACTGCCGATACACTGACACCGTCGCATTCGCCAACTGCCACAGCGGGGATCTCGAAGCATTGGATATTTCCCAGATTGTAGATTTCGCCATCCTGCGGGAGAAAGAATCCCAGGCTTTCGGTGCCAGCAAAGAAGACCGCGTTGAATGAGGGTTCTTCTCTTTTCCATTCCAAGACGTGCTTTGTTGTATTTGTCTCGTAACGTGAGAAATTGCTGTTCGGATCACTGGTATGAGGATGTGGGTAATTGACCCCGGTACGGATTGGGCCACCAAAGACTGGAGAGGACATGAAGATGAATACAGTTGCAGCGAACTTCATATGCATTTTGACAGATTGTATAGAAATGTGGTTTGGATAAAAGAGTTCACAGTTAAGGAGGGTGGTGAGCTTTCCCTCGTATGATTTCCATCAACGAATGTATACAGTACTTGAAGTCACAAGGTGTGTGTTGATGGTCCGGTCCGTAGACAGCCACTTCTGCGAAAGCCTGGCATGACAACCAGGTCAAAACTCCTCGGCGCTTAAGCAGTCTGCCTCGCGGCGAACCGGCGCACAAAGACACGGCAAAGCCGCTTTCACGACGGTCCAAAATCGAGGCTATGCCTACTGATCAGCAATACATGGCCTGGTGGCTCATCCTACAGTACCATCGGTGTCATAGTGTCTACCGTAACATCCATTGATACGAGGCGCCCGCTAAGCTCTCCCGCAACGAGTACAGTAGCATTGCGGTCAGAGCTAGCTTAGAAAGTCTCTGAATTGCTTTTGATGACCTCCTGACTGACCATCTTTCGTAATTGAAGACTTACCAGTGCCACACAGTACTGTGGTATGTAGCTGACCTGCACTAGTTACCACAAGTGACCTGAGCAAGGCCCAGGGGAAGTTTCAGGGCTGCAGCTAGCTAGCTGAGGGGTGGAGTAAAGGCAATCACCTGCCTTGGCTCGGTCATCATACATTACATTGTGGCGATGGTGTCCTAGCTCTAGCTCTCTACTGTATCCATGGTGAGACAAGCTAGGTTCCTGATGTGGCCACCCGGATCAGACTCCGCCACCAACGAAGGTCGTGACTCCCGTTCGACGGGGATGAACTTTCCTCCTTGCGACAGCCTACTGTAATCGTGGGTGAAACTACAGTGCTCTCAACACCAATCGGGCACGTCGAATGTCAAGGTGTCATCTCCTCACCTCCGTCAATAGCCCAGGGCTTCCAGTGGTCCAAGGCTGTTGCCACAGTATACCTTCTGAAGTGCAGTCAGACTCCGTTGTCACAGAAAGTGTAGGGACTATACATGCGTGAAATACTATAATACGGGCGTTCGAGGAATTGCGACTGACCTTATATTTATAGCGCTGCAGCTAGACTTTGCCATCGCGAAAGAATATGTCTTCTTATCTTAGGGACGCCATCATTCGACATCTCGAAACAGAGATAACGCGGACAGATGAAAAGATAGGGCCATGCCCCAAGCACCAAGCGAGTATGCCCGACGATGCGGATGCCTGCCCTTGTCACGGAAAGGCATTTTGGAATCTCGACCGTCTCGACGAATCCGTCCACAGGCTCAGGGACAGACGCTGTTCCGTATTTTGGTGGTACATATGGTACTTATCATCCTCAACGAAGACTCCGTGGTTCCCCAAAGAAAGCATTGAATGCTGGTCGCAAGTAGGCCAGCCGATTGCGGCGTGGCAGAGATTCGGCGTTGCGAAGAGAAACCCCGACGAAAGCACTCGCCATAGAAGAGGATACATCTACTACAAGAATTCGCGGGAAGTGTCCACTCGACAGGCCGCAGCCGCAACTACTCCGTGATTTGAATAGGAAGTTTGCAGGTGATCTCGGGCTCACGGCATCGGGGTGTAATTTTTCTCCGGATTGTGAGTGGATTGGCAAATCAGGGACCTGTTGAACAGTAGGCCGTTGGCGGCGCAGGGGTTAGACCTGTATATAGAGAAGTACTTCTGTCCTCATGGGCGCTCCTTGACCTGCGCGACAGCCAGACGACCTCTTTCCAGGCAGGAAGCTATGTTGGCTGTGGAGTATCTGCCAGGAACCCAGTTTGCCTAGGAAGCCATGACAAGGTGGGGCTAAGAAATTCCAATAGGAACTCGATCCGTAGCCGCCCGCGATCTTCCCGCGCGCTTGCGGATTGTGTGAGGCGACAACTGCCGACTATAATAAGTATCGATCTGCTAGCCATATTGTCAGAGAGCGCTGCAATTGGAGGTTAACGGATGTCTTGACCATCGAGGTCGATTTGACTTTCGTGCTATGAGCCTAGCAGTTGCGGACATAGCCCTCGGCTAGTCGTTTCACCATTAGGCCTATTGTTGATGGATCTCGACAGAGCAGCTGAGGTCACTGCTCCTCAAGTCGTCGGCAAGGTTTCAGATGTCGCGTACCACACACTCTGTCAAAATGCGTGCAATGGTGCGACACGAGAGGAGGGATAGCATGAGGGCGACCTCT